GACAGCGACGATCCCGCNGAACGAGCGACCGATGCCGAGGCACCTGACCCGGACGCGGCCGACGACGACGACGACGAGAACAGCTCGTGGTGCCTGGCACGGTCACTGGCGAGATGAAATTAGGAATGGGGAAACACAAAAAGAAAGACTTACAGCGCCGGCTGACGGAGGATCTCCCACCATTCGCCCTTTGGGTTTGGGACGGGGGCCGACATCCCCGACTTCGGGACCCATTGGTACCTTTGGGTTTGAAGGACGGCGTCCTTGTGGTGGTAGAGGTCCCTTAGGTCGACGGGCTGCGCGAGGTCGTCCAAGGCGTTGAGGAGGGGGGGAAGCGAAATGTCCCATGGGCCGCCACACTCGACCGACTGCTCGAAGATGTACTCGAGGACGGGCATAAACGTTTCCTGGTCGGGAATAATGAGAAGAACACAGCCGATAGAAAGAACGACGTACCAGGTCGTTGTTCATAATCGTCGCGGTGAGGTAGTTCTGTTGCGGGTTGGGGCGAAACTCGACCATGGCATGACAGCGATATTCTTGCTGATCGAGCAGACGCTGGGCGCTCTCAGCGTCGGTCGGCCATACGAAGCCGGTATCGGTCGCCCATCCAGGAAGTGTTTGAGGGGTGGATGCAGAGTTGGACATTGTTGGTGAGATGGCTGACGTTGCACAGAAGGTGAAGTGACGACGCGAAACGCGTCGAAAGGTTGATTGGTCCTATTTGGTCGGTAGTGGCACCCATCACGTGATCGCGTCGGACAGATCTCGCCGGACCGGTCATTACTATATACCGGTACTCGACGAGGCTCGACATGTGGATGCAGGCCCTCAGGCTCAGCGCCATGTCCCCCATTCTTTCCACCCACTCATAATGTATTCTGAATGCCCACACCAACCTCGATACCTGGTCGACAATTTGGCCACATATATGCAACAACTTGCACACGCCGGTATTCTCGGTACTGACAACACATCGCTACCACAGGAAACAGGGCTGCCGGACGATGTCATTGCAGATGCAAAACACGCTGTCCGTGTCATTGAAATGGCCGACAGGTGTACAGGTAAGTGACTAAGTTTGTTAGCCTCGTCGTACTCATTAAACCCCAGTCACCGTTGTCGGCGACATCACCACATTGACCATTCCGGCTTTGTCAAGCACTGAATCGCTAAAGCTCCTTTGGGATCCCAACAATCACCCTTGGTGGGAAACAACACCGGATCCCGTCACTGGCAATTTGCTGGCGATCCGACCGTTCAAGCTATGTGACCAGAAAGGTCATGTTCTCCTATGGTTCCTGCCCGACATCTTTTGTTGGGACATGTCGGCCAGCTCCCAAGTGCACTTATTCAAGGAGGTTGGCAAGCTTCCATTGTCTAAGGGCATGAAGGTCCGTAGTGGAAATCAGCGGAGTGAGAAGGCTCTATTCGGACCAAAATCTGAAACCACCAACGTCGAACCTGGCTTAATCAACATTTCGCCGGCCTGGTCAGAGATGGGTCACGAATATGTAAGTCCCGTTCACCTGCGAATGTCGGCCACGCCTTAACCTATGGCAGGACCCGACCAAAGTCCCCATGCCGTCCAAGAACTGGAGCGGTGACGACCAGCAGTCCAAGCAAATCACCACATTCCTTCAGCAAACATTCACCGTTCACGCTCTTATGTCCGGCATCTTAGCAGTTGTGCACCCTAACCAGTATAAGCATGGGCAATACTGCATGCAGAAGCTAACCAGCTCCGAGCAGCTACCGGTGTCGGCCAACGCTGCATCACTGACACCGCCGTCGGCCACTGGGTCACATCGTTTGCCTGCAGAGGTGACGGTTAGGCCGGACCACAAGGAAGTCCAAGAGGACCCACAGTTGACATCTGCGAAGCTATCACTGCGTCGAGACCGAGCGTTATGTTGGCCGTCGGTGTTTAGCGCATTGACTATTCTATCAAACAGGGAGACTGTCTACCACTCCGACCGGGGTGCATACCGACAGTGGTATGACATTGTCTCGTCATTTGGAAGCTACTGGCCTCAACAGTTCAGTGTACCCCAGCTCGGGATCGATCTTCATTACCGGCCTGGATCAGTGGTGCCATTCTGTGGCAAGGTGTTCCAGCATGGTGTACCCAAGTGCAAAGGTGGAAGGATCTGTCTTGCTTACTATATGAAGAAGTCTATACATGAGTATGCTAAGGTCTCCGGCGAGGTGAAATGGTCGGCTGGGGTGTATAGAGGAGACACCTGAGTGTAGTTATATGGCACGGATCCCATAACGTCATTATGCTAGCAGAATTCACTGTCTCATATACTTTCTCGTCCTGAACTTCCATAACAATGTGATCTGAGCCCGATCAAGCATGCTGGTCTAGTACATCCCATCAACCTGCAGATTTAGTGCAGTCAGGCTATGACCTAGTCGGCCTTACATACATCCGGCCTATTTGCACGTGCCATATGGGTGCCGGCACACATCAGTCAAACACATTACTGCATTGTTGTAGGTGTTACTATGCACGGCTTTGTACCCATTTAATCACGCCTTTTTAGTTCCCACATTCAATGTTTCAAAAATTTCTTGACTATCAGTTCTCTAATTTCTAGCCTGATTTACCTTCTCATGTCGGCCTATCCATTCCCGTGATTGTGCTGTGGTCTCAAAAGCATACACTAAACCAGGTACTTTATGCTGTCAGGACCTTAAGGATGCTGACAGAGGTGACCAGCCCAAGGGTTTGCCACCACAAGATGACATGGCCGACACATCATATTTATCAAAGTGATATGTCGTTTTGGCCGACATAACCATTCACAAGGTTTATAGGACTCTGACTGTGTATAATACAATGCAGGATTCTAGTAGTCTATGCAGAAGTGGGTGTGACGAGGGCGACAGTGCTCCGATTGGGGTCGAAACAATGTCCAGGCTGACAGGCCGGATACGCCAGCCGAGGGATTGTTGTTGTTTGTCAGCGGGAAGGGGATGCACGGGGTAACGTAGTGGCATGTGAGTATTGGGCCGGTTGAGCAGCGGTGCCATTGTGGGAGCCCGGGATCACCGGGCCGCCTAAGTAATGCTCAGGCTAACTACCACCAAGCCGGCATAACCTCACTGCTATTGTCGGAGCTGATGTTCAAGAAGCTGGCTGATCGATGGTGGAGCTGGTGGTTGACAAGCCGGCAGAACAGCGGTGGCAGTATGGGTGCTGGCGATTGAGAGGCCGGCAGACCAGCGGTGCCAGGTGCGATCCGTTGATAAGCCGGCAGACCAGCGGTGCCAGTGTGTGACCTGGTGGTTGACAGGCCGGCAGAGCAGAGCAGCGGTGGCAGTGTGGGTCCTGGCGATTCGCAGGCCGGCAGAGCAGCGGTGCTAGGTGC